TAAGAATATTCTGCAGAATCAACGTCTAGCAGAGAAATAAAGTGGTCTTCGTAGGAGTCATTTCTGTTAGTGAACGTGCGCCTCTTTCAGGGTTCTTCCTAGTTATTTAAATGTATAGCGGAGGATGATCTTTATATGGGTGATCATCAAAATAATTGATCCTCCTAATTTTTTATCATTCTGGTAATATGTTTACGTCAGGCTGTCCTACGTGCTCGTCCCTATTTTCAATTACCGGTGGAAAAATTGCAAATCTTCTTTTAGAAAGGAAGCTTAAAAAAATAAAATAAAAAAATAAAAAAAGCTTGTATGAGCGATGCAAACTAACTTTTAAACAGAGCGTGCACAAGGAGAAATGGGCTTTTGCATGCTCTAGCACGCGTTTAATAGCCGTTCCCTCCCGGGAGTGGGTACAGGGCTGTGCATTTGCATTTTTTTTCTTTTTAAAGTGGAGAGAGAAGGTGAGTCTTTGCAAAAATTTACAAAAATCCTCCACTATACCTTTAAGACTGATTAGGAAAAAGTATTTTCCATAAATACAAACTCATATTTTCTACTCCCTCCTCCTGCTTTGCACATCTTATTATTGTTATTATGCTATTTTTAAATACCTTACAGTATTTAATCTCATATTGTAAATTTACCCTCATTACACCATCTCTTATTCTTTTTTTGTTTTGTTTTGATTTTTCTGCGTTGCTTCTGTTTGCCCTTCATTTTTCTGCTGACATGCCTGAAATTCTACAATGGGGGACAATCAAAGTGGTTTCTAATCCATTTTAGAGGCTCACTAATGTGTGTATGAGTTGCTCTCTTTGTGCATCTGATGCACCGATGCTTGGTATACATGAGAGTCTGGGTGGAGGCTATAACTGTAAAGAGGCCAGTCATTCATCTTCAGCCTGTCAGGCTAAACACAAAGAGGCTCTGCTGCAACAGCACAGCCCTGTCACCTATTTGTTTCTGTTCATTGGATTCAACTCTTTTAAATTTCCCACATTTCGTTTAGGTACAGCAATAAAATTCATTGTATTTTCTTGAGGTTTCATGCAAAATACTAAATAATATTTTTTTAAGATAAAACATTAAAAGAATTACATGAGTTTTTTTTAATCATCCCTCTTTCCCTTCATTTCCCTGAATAAAGTCAAGTTCAGGCCTTTGTAAAGCTCTCAGAATCAATTCAAATGTTTGATAGACAGTATTGAAAAACAGACATTCTGTCAGCTAAAAACAGAAAGA